CGTACAAAGAGTGTTGTCAAAATATTTTATAATTTCTTGAAAAAATTTGTTTTATTAAAGATGTGGACATTTTTTTACCTTCAACGTCAATGATCTAAAAACGGGTCAACTCCAATATTATTTTTTCTGCGCATATGTTGTAGCTTAGATGTTTGTATTGTGCCCACCATGGGTTGAGACATAGCATACTCTTGAATACAGGGTGGGTGTCATTTTAACAATATAAATATAATTCATAGAATGGACATATCCCGTCAGACCACTGCAATTTAGCTGATACATCATTGTAATTTCGTTTAAATCTTGACTTCCAAAAACGACCACATAGATGGCCGCAGGTCAACCCACCGTTGAATGTCAACTTAAATGGGAAGTATATTCTATTATCTATATTTCTATGATTCCATGGAAGATTACAGTATAATTTCAAACAGATATTCCCATTCAAGTCAACATTTTCAGATGTGTGAATCTCCAACCATCTTTGTGCTACCATATTAAAGTAGACATTTCAAATGTATTCAAATGTTTGTACATTTATCAGCTAAAACATGACACCCACCCTGTATTCAAGAGCATGTTGTGTCTTAACCGATGGTGGGCACAATACAAACACCTAAAATAGGGTCTCGTGTCACTCTGTTACCGTGGAATTGTCGTGTTTCCTCTCTGTAGGAAACATGACAATGTAACAGATTCATTGTTCAATTGAAAGTTGTATCAGCTTCATATCCACCAACGTCGGTAATGATGCATGTTTACGTAATTAAGAATGACTATACAATCTTGAGACTCAGAAGCATAATTTGCTCTTTAGCCACCATGCTTTTAGCTGCTTTTAGCCATTAGGGCTATACCATTTTTCTTAGCCTCTGGGGCTATTAGCCTTTGCATTTTCACATAACTATCTATACCCCGAAAAGCTCTGTATTAAAACTTTTACTTTGACCAGATCCTGGAAGTCAAGTCTACTTTTTTACCTTTACAAAGTCAACTTGCTACTGCAAATTACTGTCTTCAGTGTGCTGTCAAGAAGTGGGATTCATTCAACTCTACAATATAGGTACAGTTGAAGTCGGAAGTTTACATACACCTTAGCCAAATACATTTAAACTCAGTTTTTCACAATTCCTGACATTTAATCCTAGTAAAAATTCCCTGTCTTAGGTCAGTTAGAATCACCACTTTATTTTAAGAATGTGAAATGTCAGAATAATAGTAGAGAGAATGATTTATTTCAGCTTTTATTTCTTTCATCACATTCCCAGTGGGTCAGAAGTTTACATACACTCAATTAGTATTTGGTAGCATTGCCTTTCAATTGTTTAACTTGGGTCAAACATTTCGGGTAGCCTTCCACAAGCTTCCCACAATAAGTTGGGTGAATTTTGGCCCATTCCTCCTGACAGAGCTGGTGTAACTGAGTCAGGTTTGTAGGCCTCCTTGCTCGCACACGCTTTTTCAGTTCTGCCTACACATTTTCGATAGGATTGAGGTCAGGACTTTGTGATGGCCACTCTAATACCTTGACTTTGTTGTCCTTAAGCCATTTTGCCACAACTTTGGAAGTATGGTTGGGGTCATTGTCCATTTGGAAGACCCATTTGCGACCTAGCTTTAACTTCCTGACTGATGTCTTGAGATGTTGCCCCGTGTAGCTCAGTTGGTAGAGCATGGTGCATGCAGCGCCAGGGTTGTGGGTTCGATTCACACGGGGGGCCAGTATGAAAAAATTAAAAATAAAATGTATGCACTCTGGATAAGAGCGTCTGCTAAATGACTAAAATGTTGCTTTAATATATCCACATCATTTTCCTTCCTCATGATGCCATCTATTTTGTGAAGTGCACCAGTCCCTCCTGCAGCAAAGCACCCCCACAGCATGACGCTGCCACCCCCGTGCTTCACGGTTGGGATGGTGTTCTTCGGCTTGCAAGCGATCCCCTTTTTCCTCCAAACATAACGATGGTCATTATGGCCAAACAGTTCTATTTTTGTTTCATCAGACCAGTGGACATGTCTCCAAAAAGTACGATCTTTGTCCCCATTTGCAGTTGCAAACCGTAGTCTGGCTTTATTATGGCGGTTTTGGAGCAGTGGCTTCTTCCATGCTGAGCGGCCTTTCAGGTTATGTTGATATAGGACTTGTTTTACTGTGGATATAGATACTTTTGTACCTGTTTCCACCAGCATCTTCACAGGGTCCTTTGTTGTTGTTCTGGGATTGATTTGCACTTTTCGCACCAAAGTACGTTAATCTCTAGGAGACAGAACTCGTCTCCTTCCTGAGCGGTATGACAGCTGCATGGTCCCATGGTGTTTATACTTGCGTACTATTGTTTGTACAGATGAACGTGGTACCTTCAGGCGTTTGGAAATTGCTCCCAAGGATGAACCAGACTTGTGGAGGTCTACTATTATTTTTAAATTAGCCTATCAGAAGCTTCTAAAGCCATGACATCATTTTCTGGAATTTTCCAAGCTGTTTAAAGGCACAGTCAACTTATAGTATGTAAACTTCTGACCCACTGGAATTGTGATACAGTGAATTATAAGTGAAATATTCTGTCTGTAAACAATTGTTGGAAAAATTACTCTACAAAGTAGATGTCCTAACCGACTTGCCAAAATTATAGTTTGTTAACAAGAAATTTGTGGAGTGGTTGAAAAACGAGTTTTAATGACTCCAACCTAAGTGTAAGTAAACTTCCGACTTCAACTGTAAGTGGTTTACTTATGATCAAGATGCAAGTCTTTAATTAGTGGCAACACTTGCTCAGTTCCTGTTTTTATTCGCTGCTTCTGACATCTCCCTGGCAACCTCAGCCACGCTGTATTCTATCTATAGTCGTCCTATAGTAACCTTTGTCGTCTCTGTGCAAGCATTGTTTTGGGGTTCAAGCTTATGTAGCATAGTAGATGTCAAAGTCTTATTTTAGATCTGTAAATCATAAATTCTACAGTAGTTAAATCAGGTAGAACGATCAAATCGAGTCATTTGTGTTCTTTCTCAAACACAAACAACAAACCTACGTCACACAAACCCTCACTATGTTACGTTAGTGGCAGCATACTAGCCATGTCTCAGAAATTATGACCCTTTTCACATTGTGCTGACCTCAACCAAACTGTGCTGACTTGGATATTTTCTTTTCACATTGGGCTTGTTCGACATTGCCGCCGACAGTGCAGGCGACTGGCAACTGACTGATCTACAAAAAACATTGTATTATAAATAACTACTCGTTATTATTTGTAGGTCAGTCAGTCACAATTTACCCTTGAAACATTATGGTTTTGATCCTCTTGAACACGGCCATTGTCTTTATCAATCAATCAATCAACTGTATTTATAAAGCCCTTTTTACATCAGCTGATGTTACAAAGTGCTATACAGAAAGCCAGCCTAAAACCCCAAACAGCAAGCAATGCAGATGTAGAAGCACGGTGGCTAGGAAAAACTCCCTAGAAAGGCAGGAACCTAGGAAGAAACCTAGAGAGGAACCAGGCTCTGAGGGGTGGCCAGTCCTCTTCTGGCTGTGCCGGGTGGAGATTATAAGAGCACAAGGCCATTTAAGGCCAGATTGTTCTTCAAGATGATCAAATGTTCATAGATGACCAGCAGGGTCAAATAATAATCATAGTGGTTGTAGAGGGTGCAACAGGTCAGTACCTGTAAATGTCAGTTGGCTTTTCATAGCTGAGCATTCAGAGGTCGAGACAGCAGGTGCGGTAGAGAGAGAAAGAGTCGAAAACAGCAGGTCCGGGACAAGGTAGCACGTCCGGTGAACAGGTCAGTGTTCCCTAGCCGCAGGCAGAACAGTTGAAACTGGAGCAACAGCACGACCAGGTGGACTGGGGACAGTCAGGAGTCATCAGGCCTGTTAGTCCTGATCCTAGGGCTCAGGTCCTCCGGGAGGGGAGGGAGAGAGGGAGAGAGAGAGAGAATCAGAGGAAGCATACTTAAATTCACACAGGACACCAGATAAGACAGGAGAATTACACCAGATATAACAGACTGACCCTAGCCCCCTGGCACATAGACTATTGCAGCATTGATACTGGAGGCTGAGACGGGGGGGGGAGTCGGGGGACACTGTGGCCCCGTCCGACGATACCCCCGGACTGGGCCAACCAGGCAGGATATAACCCCACCCACTTTGCCAAAGCATAGCCCAAACACCACTAGAGGGATATCAACAGACCACCAACTTACTACCCTGAGAAAAAGCTTGGTATAGCCCACAAAGATCTCCTCCACCGCACGAGCCAGAGGGGGCGCAAAACCGGACAGGAAGATCGTGTCTGTTACTCAACCCACTCAGGTGACGCACCCCTCCTAGGGACAGCATGGAAGAGCACTGGTAAGCCAGTGACTCAGCCCCCGTAATAGGGTCAGAAGCAGAGAATCCCAGGGGAGAGAGGCGAGCTGGCCAGGCTACACTATCTAGCTACTTCCATCTCCTTACTGCGGCAAGCAGGAGCTAAAGGACACTGTGCCCCATGTTGTGTTGCCTGCTTGCAGCGCAAACTCTCCCCATTGAGCAGTGTAGACTGTATCACGGTAACATCCAGATGGTTACTACCATTACAGGTTATTTATTGTGTAGGCTGCTGTCCTACTCTAAATAAAACCAAGTGGGATGGATTAAATTGGAGATGGTGACTAAATCCAGATGGTGACCAATACTACAAGTTATTTCGCCCATCGAAATAAACATCACTTTCTTTTACTAGCGCCATGCTGCTGTTGCCAGCTAGCCATCATAAACTAGCTGTGAAGGGCTCATCAGCACCACTGGATCAGGCCGACTGACTGAACCGAAGCCATTTGTCTCCACACTCGACTCTCAGCTGTGCGACATACTTCATCAATTTGGGCACCAGGCATGTCCATATAGCCGCTCCCTCTTTGAAATGGCGTTACTTAGGTTCTTTCATGTGTTGACATTACAGCAGGCGTGGTGGTGAGCGTAGAAGGCTACCATCCTAGCAGCACCATGAGCCTGGATGAGGATGCACGGTGGCTGGAGTGGGTCACCAAGCAGTTTGAGAGCATCGCGGGTGATGACAAAGAAATTGACCTGGAAGAGTTCAAAACGGCCCTCAAGGTCAAGGAGGTGAGTTAGGGGTCAAGTGTCAACTCATTTGTAGGTCATTGTCCTAATACTTTTTTGGGGAGGTTGTATGTATTTTGTTGGTAGTTCTTTTGTGACAAGTAAGGTCAAATAGGGCTGGGGTAGGATGGTAGGGGGTACAGTGCAATAACATAAAATACATGAAATTTCACATACAGACCCCCCAAAAATGTATTCTCAATGTCTGACTTTCACTCACTCTAAATGACTGTCCTTTATGGATTGTGTACGGTATGTGAGTTTTACTTACTTTGTCCATAGAAGTCAGTGCTGTGTGATTCTGTGTGTGTTTGTGCAGTCTTTCTTTGCGGAGCGGTTCTTTGCGCTGTTTGACTCTGACGGCAGCAAAACCATCAGTCTGGATGAGCTGCTGAAGGCTCTGGACCTGCTGATCCACGGCAGCGAGACAGACAAGCTCCGCTTCCTCTTCCAGGTCTATGACGTCGATGGTATGTGTTTAACCTAGTGCCAGATCTGTTTGTGCTGTCTTGACAATTACCAATGACCAGGAGTTGGCAAGACAACACACATAGATCTGTGACCAGGCTTGTAAGTGTTACTTGTGAAGACAAAATGTGTGCATTATCCACTATTAAAACACACAGTGAAATAAATCATCCACACCTTTTTTTGGTATACTATATAAACCGATGTATGAGAATGGTCAGTGAAACCTTCATGCATTGTCTCACCTTTAGGACATGCAGTTTATTTCGTCCAACTTAGCTGCCTATATTTTTATCGAAATGTATTGATAAATCTTTCATCACCTTGCAACAGACTCTTTATTATTGATGATGATTTCTCTTGGCCTGCAGGCAGTGGCTCGATTGACCCAGACGAGCTGCGCACGGTGCTCAAGTCGTGCCTGCGCGAGAGCGCCATCTCCCTGCCAGAGGAGAAGCTGGACGACCTGACCCTGGCTCTGTTCGAGTCGGCCGACAAGGACAACAGCGGGTCCATCACTTTCGAGGAGCTCAAGGCCGAGCTGGAGAACTTCCCTGAGGTCATGGAGAACCTCACCATCAGGTCTCAAGGCACAGCTTTTTTTTTCAGCTAACATGTTTTCACATGGGGCCAGTTTCCCAGACACAGATGAAGCCCAGCCCTGGACTAAAATGTTTAGGGCTAGGCTTAATTTTTGTCAGGGAAACAGGCCCAGAATGTATCAAACATGCAAAATATAAGGAAGGCTCACATGTCCATACACACATAAGATTTTCCCTGTGACATTTTATGTAGTCCAGTGTCTGTCCTCCAACTCTGTATCTCAGCACATAGCCAATATGTCCCCAGATAATTAGCTTTACTGCAGAGGAAGTGGTCTCTGCCAGCACATTTTGTCCCCTCTCTCACCGCCATGACTCCTCTCACTCCCACTGAGCTCTGGGCCCAAATTCAAAAAGCGTCTCAGAATGCTAATCTAGGATGAGATTGCTCATGTCCATATAATCATACTCATTATGATCTTAGAGGCTAAAACTGATCCTAGATCAGCACTCCTATTCTGAAACTCTGTAAATTATGGCCCTGCTCTCCGTTTCCTCCACCCCCTAGTGCTGCCAACTGGCTGAAGCCTCCAGGCCTGGAGCAGAAGAAGGGGCGGCATACGCCGCGCTACCTGACGCCGGCGTACTGGCACAACAACAGCCGAAAGCTCCTCTTCCTGTGCGCCTACACTTGCCTCAACCTGCTGCTGTTCATCACCGCCATGCTGAAGAACGCAGAGGGGGGATTCTGGTACATGGTGGCCAAGGGCTGTGGCCAGTGCCTCAACTTTAACTGTACCTTTGTCATGGTGAGGGAGTTAGTGGGGAAGGAAGTGGGGGAGGGAGGGAGGGGGTGAATGTGGTTTGGTGGATAGAGATGAAGAGATATTCAGCAACTCTCGGTAAGGACAATGGATGTTTGCTTCATAAATCAATATTTTAAACCATGAGGGTATTGATGTTTAGAGGTAGACATGGACATGCAGCTGTGACATTTCCCTTAGTAACACTAGACTTTCTTCATTGATTGTGTCTGTCTGTGTATCCGTGTGTGTGTGTGTGTGTGTGTGTGCATGAGTATGTGTGTATGTGCATATCTGTGTCCATATGTGTGTGTTTACATGTGAATGTGTGTAGGTGCTGATGCTGCGGCGCTGTTTGACCTGGCTGCGGGCCACTTGGGTTGTGAGGGTGCTGCCTCTGGACCAGAACATCCTGCTGCATCAGATGGTGGGCTACGCCATTGTCACCTTCTCCACCATGCACACCACCGCCCACTTCATGAACTTTGGTACGCAGGCACCCACACGCTCTAAACCACAAACACTCACATGTTATAAACCTTCTATCTCCCAGATGCAATTAACCAGTCCAAAAATGATTTTTAAGCCTTGAAACAATTGTTTCATGAGCTGAAAGAAAAGATCCCAGAAATGTTCCATAGGAAACAAAAAGCTTATTTCTCTAAAATGTTGTGCACATATTTGCTAACATCCCTCTTAGTGAGCTGATAAAACTGTGGTTTTGCACAACTGAATAATTTCTGCACAAACTGTCAGAAACCGTCGCAGGGTGTTCGTCGTCCTCACCAGGGTCTTGACCTGACTGCAGTTCGGCGTCGTAACAGACTTCAGTTGGCAAATGCTCACCTTCGATGGCCACTTGCACGCTGGAGAAGTGTACTCTTCACGGATTAATCCCGGTTTCAACTGTACCGGGCAGATGGTAGACGTGTGGGCGAGCGGTTTGCTGATGTCAACGTTGTGAACAGAGTGCCCCATGGTGGCGGTGGGATTATGGTATGGTCAGGCATAAACTACAGACAACAAACACAATTGCATTTTATCGATGGCAATTTGAATGCACAGAAATACCGTGGCGAGATCCTGAGGCCCATTGTCGTGCCATTCATTCGCCTCTATCACCTCATGTTTCAGCATGATAATGCACGGCCCCATGTCGCAAGGATCTGTACACAATTCCTGGAAGCTGAAAATGTCCTAGTTCTTCCATAGCCTGCATACTCACCAGACATGTCACCCATTGAGCATGTTTGGGATACTCTGGATCAACATGTACGACGGCGTGTTCCAGTTTCCGCCAATATCCATCAACTTCGCACAGCCATTGAAGAGGAGTGGGACAACATTCCACAGGCCACAATCAACAGCCTGATCAAACCTGTGCGAAGCATGAGGAAAATGGTGGTCACACCAGATACTGACTGGTTTTCTGATCCATGCTACTACTTTTTTTTTTAAGGTATCTTTGACCAACAGATGCATATCTGCATTCCCTGTCGTGAAATCCATAGATTACGGCCTAATACATTTATTTCAATTGACTGATTTCCTTAAATGAACTGTAACTCAGTAAAATCTTTGAAGTTGTTGCATGTTGCATTTATATTTTGGTTCAGTGTAGTATATATTTTGGCTATAATTAGAATGCCAAATTTTGCCCCATAGTTGCGCACGCGTCGGTTTTGTTGCTTAACAACCAACCCATTTATTGGTTTCAATTGAATGTTTTGGTATTTGCATCCCTGAATGTTGTCTGTAAACTGGAGGAAATGCTGGTACATCAGAGGAGGCTGGTGGGAAGAGCTATAGGAGGACGGGCTCATTGTAATGGCTGGAATGGAATAAATGGAACAGCCATATGTTTGATACTGTTGCATTTATTCCATTCCAGCCATTACAATGAGCCCATCCATCTATAGCTCCTTCCACCAGCTTCCTCTGTGGTACACATAATGGCATGTTTATGTTCAGACTGACCCAGCCCTTGGTCTAAGGTGGTGCTGTATTGTGACAGCTTTCAACTGATCAATCACATTTATTTCTAAACCATTTTTTTTTTACATTAGCAGTTGTCACAAAGTGTTTTTACAGTAACCTGGTCTGATGCTATGTTTCCTCCTTCAGTCCACCTAACTCAGAACAGCAGCTACAGCCTGTGGGAGTACCTTTTCACTACTCGGCCAGGGATTGGCTGGGTGTGGGGCTCTGCATCCGTCACCGGCATGGTGCTACAGATCATGATCTGTCTAATGGTGGTCTGCTCCAGCACCTTCGTCCGGCGCAGCGGCCATTTTGAGGTACAGTTGACAATCTAGCTAGTCATTTAGCAGGCGCTCATTTACAAAGTTTCAAGTTTTATTCGTCTTATGTATGGGATACACATGGTATACACCAGGGTTCCCCAACTGGCGGCCCATTTTATTTGGACTAAAAACACCAGGAAATCAGCTCCAAGTTATAAACATTTTGGGAATCTGTTCCCAAGTATTCCCACGCATACGAGAGACACGTGATCATATACATACAGTGCATTCGGAAAGTATTCAGACCACTTGACTTTTTCCACATTTTGTTACGTTATAGCCTTATTCTAAAATGGATGAAATAGTTTTTTTCCTCATCAATCTACACACAATACCCCATAATGACAAAGCAAAAACAGTTTAAATTTTTTTTGCAAATATATAAAAAACGGAAATATCACATTTACATAAGTATTCAGACCATTTACTCAGTACTTTGTTAAAGCACCTTTGGCAGCGATTACAGCCTTGAGTCTTCTTGGGTATGACGCTACAAGCTTGGCACATCTGTATTTGGGGTGTTTCTCCCATTCTCCTCTGCAGATCCTCTCAAGCTTTGTCAGGTTGGATGGGGAGCGTCGCTGCACAGCTATTTTCAGGTCTCTCCAGAGATGTTTGATCGTGTTCAAGTCTGGGCTCTGGCTGGGCCACTCAAGGACATTCAGAGACTTGTCCCAAAGCCACTCCTGCATTGTCTTGGCTGTGTGCTTAGGGTTATTGTCCTGTTGGAAGGTGAACCTTCACCCCAGTCTAAGGTTCTGAGCTCTCTGGAGCAGGTTTTCATCAAGGATCTCTCTGTACATTGCTCCGTTCATCTTTCCCTCAATCCTGACTAGTCTCCCAGTCCCTGCCGCTGAAAAACATCCCCGCAGCATGATTCTTCCACCACCATGTTTCACCGTAGGGATGGTGCCAGGTTTCTCATGGTCTGAGAGTCTTTAGGTGCCTTTTGGCAAACTCCAAGCGGGCTATCATGTGCCTTTTACTGAGGAGTTGCTTCCGTCTGGCCACTCTACCATAAAGGCCTGATTGGTGGAGTGCTGCAGAGATGGTTGTCCTTCTGGAAGTTTCTTCCATCTCCACAGAGGAACTCTGGAGCTCTGTCAGAGTCACCATCGGGTTCTTGGTCACCTCCCTGACCAAGGCCCTTCTCCCCAGATTGCTCAGTTTGGCCAGGCGGCCAGCTCTAGGAAGAGTCTTGGTGGTTCCAAACTTCTTCCATTAAAGAATGATGGAGGCCACTGTGTTCATTGGGACCTTCAATGCTGCAAAAAAAATGTGGTACCCTTCCCCAAATCTGTGCCTCGACACAATCCTGTCTCGGAGCTCTACGGACAATTCCTTCAACCTCATGGCTTGGTTTTTGCTTTGACATGCACTGTCGACTGTGGGACCTTATATAGACAGGTGTGTGCCTTTCCAAATCATGTCCAATCAAATGAATTTACCACAGGTGGACTCCATTCAAGTTGTAGAAACATCTCAAGGATGATCAATGGAAACAGGATGCACCTGAGCTAAATTTCGAGTCTCATAGCAAAGGGTCTGAATAGTTATGTAAATAAGGTATTTCTGTTTTTTATTTGTAATAAATTAGCAAACATTTCTAAAAACCGTTTTTGCTTTGTCATTATTTGGGTGTAGCTCTCTCTATCGCTACACCCAAATACTCCAATGTATTTTTATTTTGTTGTGTTGTTTCCCCAGGTGTTCTACTGGTCCCACCTGTCCTATGTGTGGGTGTGGGTTCTGCTGGTGGTGCACTGTGCCAACTTCTGGAAGTGGTTTGTGGTACCTGGTGTGATCTTCCTGCTGGAGAAACTAGTGGGCGTCGCTGTGTCTCACATGGGAGGCCTCTACATCGTGGAGGTCAACCTGCTGCCATCTAAGGTGCCCATCTGGATGTTATACCAATAGTGGTCACTTTTCTTAAAGAGGACACTTATTCACTTTTGCGTTTTTCAATATCTAGCTATTGTGTTATGCCACCTGCTCAACACGTAATTAAGTTTGACTAGACCTCTGCTATAGGAATATTAGATTATAATATGATACATCTTATCCCAACCTACCAACCCTACTATAGGTGAGAAAAATCAACTAGCATTGTGCAGTTTGGACAGAGTTTAGCTGGCTCTGTTAGCCTAGTAGTTAATGTCTTCATTTTTGTTCAAAGCACAGTTTTGTTTACCCCTAGAGAGTGTTGAAAAATGTCTGTTACTTGCAGGTGACCCATCTGGTAATCAAGCGGCCCCAGTTTTTCCACTTCAAACCAGGGGATTATATTTACATCAACATTCCAGACATCGCTAAGTATGAGTGGCATCCTTTCACCATCAGCAGTGCCCCAGAGCAGCCAGGTTTTTATGTTTTATTTCACCTTTTAGCAGGGAGTCCCATTTGAGACCAATACAGCATAATACAAATATACAAGATTACAAAACGTACTTAAGAGAAACAATCACAATCATCACAGCAAAGAGGTACCTAATCAACCATTTGAATTGCCCGAGAGGCACCAGTACATCTAGTTGGAGGGAACTCTGTAGATTGTTCCATACAGGACATGGGGTGCAAAGACACCAAAAGCAGATTTACCTAACTGTGGGGATCTCCAGAGTTAAACATCCCTGAAACCGAGTATGGTAACTCATACGTCTAAATGTTGTTAATGATTTTATGTATGGTGGAAGTTTTTGTAAGAGAGCTTTATAAATAAAAAGAGAGCATTGAATCAATCTACGTGACTTCAAAGAGGGCCAGCCTACTTTCTGGTAAAGAATGCAGTGATGTGTACTGAACCTGTCACCTGTAATAAAGCGCAGTGTGCTATGATAAACTGCGTCCAATAGCTTCAATATAGTGGCAGATGCATTCATAAAGACATAGGTACACTCAAATTGTCTAAAAAATGTGTTACATCCAGTTCCCAACTCTCTCTAAACTAGAATATAATAAAGAATACAACTTTATTGTCTAGAACGGAAATGTGTCTTCTGCCGTTCCCAACACACACACACACACACGTTGAACGCCACAGCATCAGCGGATGGAGAGCAATTGTGGGGGGGTTAAGTGCCTTGCTCAAGCACAATGACAAATGGTACATGGGATCAGAGACCAGTAGCTTTCCATCTGCCAGTTCTGTTCCATTCCCATTTTTGTGTTGCCCAGCCCAGGGCTTGAACCAGCAAACTTCCATCTGCTGGTCTGCCTCTCTAACCTCTAGGCTACTGCTGCCCCCAAATTAAACTAAACTTAGAAACACATAACCACGGTCCAGTTGCAGCTTTGCACCACCATGATAATTTCCATAGAACTCAATGGAGTGTGTTCCTCTTCTGGGAAAGTACTCTGTGGTTGCACATCCCTTTCTGAATATATACTCTATGCTTGCACATCCCTTTCTGAAAAGATACTCTTTGGTTGCATATCCGCTCCATGGGCCAGTGGACCAATCGTCTGTATGAGTACTTCAGGCAGCCGGACAGCCAGGTGGTCAGCACAAAGAGACTGAGCGCCAGCCTGAGGGACAGACGGCACCAGAGGAGGGCCCAGGTTCTCTACCTTCTCTTTCGCCCACTACTTAATTCTATCTGTTAGCAATACAAAACAATTCTACTTACACAAAGTCAATACAATACAATTAAGTAGGACCCTGGAATATGGGAGTGGGCTAAATCATTAGATTTTCTTGCAGGAGGAGCTGTTTAAATGTGCGAACTGCAACGGGACGGTGGCCTCCAATGAGGACGATGCCATCGAGCTGACACTGTATCGACAAAACGGGTGTAGACCAGGGCCAGGACCATGCCCAGGACCAGGGCCACAGGGGCCCAACCCAGACCAGCAGAACCAAGCAGAGAGAGGGGAAGGCCCCCCGCTCAGAGAGGTATGATCTGGGCCCCTGATAAGAAGACAATATGAATAGAATAAAGATATTTATCATACAAAAGAGCCTAAACTCCGAGTGATGTTTCAAATGTTTACTCAGCGAAGATGTACAGCTGAATACATACATTCAATACAGTGCAGTGTCCACTTATACCCTTAGCTCTCACCCCCTCCCTTCCACCAAGATGTACAATACTTTTCCATCACCCAGGATTTCTCCATGCTCCTATGTCCATATCACAGGACTTCTTATCAGTCAGGAGAAGCCTTGAGTTATTGGGAGTACACATTCCTACAGTCCACTGCAATCCACCAAATAATTACTGTCAAGGTGGAGTGTAGTGGAACGTGGAATCACACGCAGGACACAGAGATTCAAAGCCAAATGTCTTTAGTGAAGTCCGTAGTACACGCCAAACACGGCAACAGGCCACAGGCGAAAACAAACGCACACTAGACTGTCCAAAGTAAGTATGCACAACGTGCAGGACTCTCTTACAAAACACGAAAATAAGAGAGCACAATACAGAGGACCAAACAACAACACGTGACAGTAGAACAATTACACACAACACCTGACCAAACACAAGAGAACTAAATAGGGTGCCTAATGAACACTAAACAATAAACAGGTGTGACAAACAGACAAAACCAATCAAACATGAAACATCGAACGGTGGCAGCTAGTACTCCGGAGACGACGACCGCCGAAGCCTGCCCGAACAAGGAGAAGGAGCCGCCTCGGCCGAAACCGTGACAGTACCCCCCCCTTGACGCGCGGCTCCAGCCGTGCGCCGCCCCTGGCCTCGGGGACGACCAGGAGGACGCGGAGCAGGGCGCGCAGGATGACCACGATGGAATTCGGTCAGAAGAGACGGGTCCAGGATGTCCCTCCTCGGCACCCAGCACCGCTCCTCCGGGCCGTACCCCTCCCACTCCACGAGATATTGGAGACCCCCCATCCGGCGTCTCGAATCTAGGATGGCCCGAACAGTGTACGCCGGAGCCCCCTCGATGTCCAACGGGGGCGGAGGAGTCTCTTCTATCTCAAAGTCCTGGAGTGGACCAGCTACCACCGGCCTGAGGAGAGACACATGGAACGAGGGGTTAATATTTTTGTAATCAATGGGCAGTTGTAACCTGTAACACACCTCGTTCAATCTCCTCAGGACTTTAAAAGGCCCCACAAACCGCCGACCCAGCTTCCGGCAGGGCAGGCGGAGGGGCAGGTTTCTGGTTGAGAGCCAGACTCGATCTCCAGGTGCGTACACTGGCCCCTCACTGCGGTGGAGGTCGGCGCTCGTCTTCTGTCGACGGATGGCTCGCTGCAGATGGACGTGTGCAGCGTTCCACGTCTCCTCCGAGCGCCGCACCCACTCATCCACCGCAGGGGCCTCGATCTGGCTCTCATGCCAAGGTGCCAGAACCGGCTGGTACCCTAACACACACTGGAAAGGGGTTGGTTTAGTGGAGGAGTGGCGGAGAGAGTTCTGTGCCATCTCGGCCCAGGGCACATATCTCGCCCACTCCTCCGGCCGGCCCTGACAATATGACCTCAGAAACCTACCCACATCCTGGTTGACACGTTCGACCTGCCCATTACTCTCCGGGTGGTAACCCGAGGTAAGGCTCACCGAAACCCCCAACCGTTCCATAAATGCTCTCCAGACTCTGGAGGTAAACTGGGGGCCTCGATCAGACACTATATCCTCGGGTACCCCGTAATGCCGGAAGACGTGAGTAAATAGAGCCTCAGCGGTCTGTAGGGCAGTAGGAAGACCAGGCATGGGAAGGAGACGACAGGCCTTCGAGAACCGAGCCACAACGACCAGGATGGTGGTATTCCCCTGTGAGGAGGGAAGGTCGGTAACAAAATCCACCGAGAGGTGGGACCAGGGTCGTTGTGGAACGGGCAGGGGTTGTAACTTACCCCTGGGCAAGTGTCTGGGCGCCTTACACTGGGCACACACTGAGCAGGAGGAGACATAAATCCTCACATCCCTGGCTAATGTTGGCCACCAGTACTTTGTACTAAGGCAGTGCACTGTCCGGCCAATACCTGGATGTCCAGAGGAGGGTGACGTGTGAGCCCAATAAATAAGCCGATCCCGGACCTCGAGCGGGACGTACGTCCGACCCACCGGACACTGTGGAGGGCTAGGGTCGGTGCGTAACGCCCGCTCGATCTCCGCATCGACCTCCCATACCACCGGTGCAACCAGACAAGACTTAGGCAGTATGGGAGTGGGCTCCACGCACCTCTCCTCCGTGTCATACCGCCGAGACAGGGCATCTGCCTTCCCGTTCTGGGACCCAGGGATGTAAGTGATCTTAAACACGAACCTGGCTAGAAACATAGTCCACCGAGCCTGGCGAGGATTCAGTCTCCTAGCCGCCCGAATGTATTCCAGGTTACGGTGGTCAGTCAGAATGAGAAAAGGGTGTTGAGCCCCCTCAAGCCAGTGCCTCCACACCTTTAGGGCCTGTACCACGGCTAACAGCTCCCTGTCCCCTACGTCATAATTCCGCTCCGCCGGACTGAGCTTTTTCGAATAAAAGGCACAGGGGCGGAGTTTAGGTGGTGTGCCGGACCGTTGTGAAAGAACGGCCCCGATACCGGCTTCAGACGCGTCCACCTCCACTTGGAATGGTAAAGTGGGATCCGGATGCGCCAGCACTGGAGCCGAGGTAAACAGGTCCTTCAGTTTCCCAAAAGCCCTGTCCGCCTCAGCTGACCACCGCAAGCGCACCGGACCCCCTTCAGAAGGGACGTTATGGGAGCTGCCACCTGTCCAAAACCCCGGATAAACCTCCGGTAGTAATTCGCAAAACCCAAGAACTGCTGCACCTCTTTAACCGTGGTTGGGGTTTGCCAATTACGCACGGCTGACACACGGTCAACCTCCATCCTCACCCCTGACGCAGACAACTGATAACCCAAAAAGGAGACCGACTCCTGGAAGAACAGACATTTCTCGGCTTTGACATACAGGTCATGCTCCAACAATCTCCTCAATACTCTGCGCACCAGGGCTACATGCTCGACCCGGGTAGAACTGTACACCAGAATATCGTCTATGTACACCACCACTCCCTGCGCCTGCATGTCCCGGAAAATCTCATCTACAAAGGATTGGAAGACTGATGGAGCATTCATTAACCCGTATGGCATGACGAGATACTCGTAATGACCGGAGGTAGTACTAAATGCTGTCTTCCATTCATCGCCCTCTCTAATGCGTACCAAGTTATATGCGCTCCTGAGTTCCAATTTTGTAAAGAACCGTGCCCCGTGTAATGACTCCGTCATAGTCGCAATCAGCGGGAGTGGATAACTATATTTCACAGTCACCTGATTGAGACCGCGGTAATCAATACACGGGCGCAAACCTCCATCCTTTTTCTTCACAAAAAAGAAGCTCGATGACGCGGGTGAATTAGAGGGCCGTATGTATCCCTGTCTCAGAGACTCGGCAATGTATGTCTCCATTGCCCTCTTCTCCTCCTGTGACAACGGATACACATGGCTCCGCGGGAGCGCAGCTCCTGCCTGGAGGTCTATCGCACAATCCCCCTGTCTATGCGGCGGCAACCGTGCCGCTCTTGTCTTGCTAAACACGAGTGCCAAATCCTCATACTCAGGTGGAATGTGCAGTGCGGGCATCTGGTTCGGACTCTCCACCGAGGTCGCCCCTACGGAAACACCCAGACATAGCCCCTCACACTGAGCAGACCACCCTTTAAGAGCCTTCTCTCGCCACGAAATAGTTGGATCATGGGTAATCAACCAGGGAAGCCCCAGTACCACCGGATACGCAGGAGAGTCGATCGGATAGAGCTGAATCGTCTCCTCATGACCCCCCTGCGTCTCCATCCTAAGTGCCGCTGTGACCTCCCTAATCAACCCAGATCCTAACGGACGACTATCTAGGGCATGTACAGGGAAAGGATTATTAACAGGAAGGAGGGGAATCCCTAACTCTACACAGAATTTGCGATCTACAAAATTCCCAGCTGCGCCTGAATCTACTAGCGCCTTATGCTGGGAACGAGGTGCAACCTGTGGAAAACAAACAGGTATAGTTATGTGTACGACAGAAAGCTCTGGGTAAGTGGAGCGTCTACTCACCTGGGAGGACTCCCCAATGTAAGGTCTGCCGTCTCCCCCACTAGGGGACCCTCCCCAGCACCTAGCCGCGGTGTGCCCTCCACGGCCACAGTTGGTGCAGGGGACGGCCCCCCTCGGGCTCCTTCTTCTCCTTCCTCTAGCGCCAGCACCTCCGAGCTCCATCGGGCTCGGCTCGGAGGCGCTGGAGGGTGGAATGGGCGACCCCCACTTGGGACGTCCGCGGGTAGCGAGCAGGGTGTCCAGCCGAATGGCCATGTCCACCAACTGGTCAAATGAGAGTGTAGTATCCCTGCACGCCAACTCTCTGCGGACGTCCTCCCGGAGGCTACAACGGAAGTGGTCTATGAGGGCCCGCTCATTCCACCCTGCATCTGCCGCTAGAGTCCGGAACTCCAGCGCAAATTCCTGAGCGCTCCTCATCCCCTGCCGGAGGTAGAATAGACGCTCCCCCGCTGCCTTCCCCTCTGGTGGATGGTCGAACACAGCACGGAAGCGGCGGGAGAACTCCGCGTAGGTGATAGTGGCGGCGTCTATTCTCCTCCATTCGGCGTTGGCCCACTCCAACGCCTTGCCGGTGAGACAGGAGATGAGGGCGGAAACGCTCTCGTCTCCCGAGGGCGCCGGGTGTACGGTGGCCAGGTAGAGTTCCACTTGTAACAGGAACCCCTGACACCCGGCAGCGGTGCCGTCGTACGCCCTCGGGAGCGAGAGCCGAATTCCACTGGGTTCCGGTAGTTGGACGGGCGGGCTGACCGATGGTGATGGTGCGGTAGGTGGGGATGTGGGTACCCCGCTGGTCTCCCATCGATGGAGGGTGTTCATCACTCGGTCTAGGGCGTGCCCGATTTGGTTGATGCGATCCTCTTGACCACGAAGGCGCTCCTCCATGATCTCGGGAGGTGCGGGTGCTCCTGCTGATTCCATAAGATGGTGTGTAATTCTGTCAAGGTGGAGTGTAGTGGAACGTGGAATCACACGCAGGACACAGAGATTCAAAGCCAAATGTCTTTAGTGAAGTCCGTAGTACACGCCAAACACGGCAACAGGCCACAGGCGAAAACAAACGCACACTAGACTGTCCAAAGTAAGTATGCACAACGTGCAGGACTCTCTTACAAAACACGAAAATAAGAGAGCACAATACAGAGGACCAAACAACAACACGTGACAGTAGAACAATTACACACAACACCTGACCAAACACAAGAGAACTAAATAGGGTGCCTAATGAACACTAAACAATAAACAGGTGTGACAAACAGACAAAACCAATCAAACATGAAACATCGAACGGTGGCAGCTAGTACTCCGGAGACGACGACCGCCGAAGCCTGCCCGAACAAGGAGAAGGAGCCGCCTCGGCCGAAACCGTGACAATTACACTTATCATACACAAAGAGCTTGAACCTAACACTACTTTCAATCTCTGAGGATGTATAAAAACAATCTATTCATACTAAGAGGATATAGTGATATAAAACAGTAAAGATATAAAACAGTAATTTGCAATCTATCACTCCTATTCATAAAGCATCTCAGGGCAGGAGTTCTGATCTAGGATCAGTTCTGCCTTTTAGATCATAATGAATAATATGATATTTACAGGAGGGGACCTGATCCTAGATCAGCACTCCTACTCTGAGATGCTTTAAGAATACGGGCCCAGGTCCCCCATGTCCACATCATTTTATTTATTTTGATCTAAAAGGCAAAACTGATCCAATATCAGCACTTTTACACTAAGACGCTTTGGGAATATGGGCCCTGGTCTGACAGTACAGGGGTTGGCTCACTGGGTCACTGTTGTAATGCATTATGATAACCTCTTATTACTTATTATAACTGATGATGAATCTGTTTTTCCTCCCGACCAACATAGATCACAGCCAAGCTTAGTGAAAACCACAGGTTCTGCAACGTCAAAGTGAGTTTGACTTCAACCTGCTTCTGTAACATGTAATTGTTGATACTGTACATAACATATTACTAGCCGTATTAGAAGACATTATAAAGGCTTATAACAAGTTATGAAGCATTATACCTGCAGGCTTTAAGTAAAGTGTACCATCAAGGTGATATTTGTCATTCTCTTATTAGCTATCTAAACATTCACATTTGTTTTGAATATACTCTGAATGCCTATAAGTATCTGTATCTCTGTCTGTCAGTGCTTCGTGGATGGGCCATATGGGACTCCTACCAGACAGATCTTTGCCTCTGAACACGCTGTGTTAATCGGTGCTGGTATTGGGATCACACCTTTCGCCTCCATCTTACAGAGCATCATGTACCAGTAAGGCATGGGTACAAGACTAAAGAGAACGCTAGATCGCTCTGGAACAGAAACACAGAGAATTTAGAAGCACTAACCGTCTTACAGTATACACTAAATGAAATACCCAAGTGACCCAAGCTATAGTGCAAGCTATAATCCTACAATGATGATTATGGCGCCAATATCTACTTTTGTTGAAGCTTAGCCCAATACTATGGTTATTAATAACTTTTAAAAATCCCACATACCCGCATATTCTGCTGTAAGTCAATTTCCTAACAACTTTGGATGGTGTGGCAATAAAGGTTGAGTCTTGAATTTTTACTTCTGATTTCTATTTCAGCTATCGCATGAGGAAACAGAACTGCCCCAACTGCAGCTATTCATGGTGTGAGAACATCAAGGACAGTGAGATGAAACTGAGGAAGGTAAGACCCACTGCAGATGACAGAAGCTTGTACTTGTTAGCCTGGTCCCAGATCTGTTAGTGCATTCTTGCATACTCCTGTGGTCAAGTAGGCAAGACAGCATCAACAGATCTGGGACCAGCCTAAGAAATTAATAGTTATAGTAAACGTTTGTTAAACGCTCTGTTTGTGGTCCTCCTACAGGTTGACTTTATCTGGATCAACAGAGACCAGAAATCATTTGAGTGGTTCGTGAGCCTCCTGACCAAACTGGAGATGGATCAGGCTGATGAAGAGCCAGAGGGTAAGTGAGAGAAGGGAGGAATGAAAGATACAGAGATGGAGGGAGGAGAAAGAGAGGAAGAGTGAGATGTTCTGTAAGAGAAACACCACTGGGTGTTAAATCAAATAAAATGTTATTTGTCACATGCGCCGAATACAACAGGTGTAGACCTTACAGAGAAATGCTTACTTACAAGCCCATAACCAACAATGCAGTTTTAAGAAAAATAAGTGTTAAGTAAAAAATAGATAAGTAAAAAATTAAAATTAAAAATAATTAAAGAGCAGCAGTAAAATAACAGTAGCGAGGCTATATACAGGGGATACCGGTACAGAGTCAATGTGCGGGGGCACAGGTTAGTCGAGGTAATTGAGGTAATATGCACATGTAGGTAGAGTTAAAGTTACAATGCAAATAGTCTGGGTAGCCATTTGATTAGCTGTTCAGGAGTCTTATGGCTTGGGGGTAGAAGCTGTTAAGAAGCCTTTTGGACCTAGACTTGGCGCTCCGGTACCGCTTGCCGTGCGGTAGCAGAGAGAACAGTCTATGACTAGGGTGGCTGGAGTCTTTGACAATTTCTAGGGCTTTCCTCTGACACCACCTGGTATAGAGGTCCTGGATGGAAGGAAGCTTGGCCCCAGTGATGTACTGGGCCATACGCACTACCCTCTGTAGTGCCTTGCGGTCGGAGACCGAGCAGTTGCCATACCAGGCAGTGATCCAACTTTTTTCAGTGATCCAACTTTTTGAGGATCTGAGGACCCATGCCAAATCTTTTCAGTCTCCTGAGTGGGAATAGGCTTTACCGTGCCCTCTTCATGACTGTCTTGGTGTGTTTGGACCATTACAGTTTGTTGGTGATGTGGACACCAAGGAACTTGAAGCTCTCAACCTGCTCCACTACAGCCCCGTCGATGAGAATGGGGGCGTGCCTGGTCCTCTTCTTTTTCCTGTAGTCCACAATAATCTCCTTTGTCTTGATCACGTTGAAGGAGAGGTTGTTATCCTGGCACCACACGGCCAGGTCTCTGACCTCCTCCCTATAGGCTGTCTCATCGTTGTCGGTGATCAGGCCTACCACTGTTGTGTCGTCTGCAAACTTAATGATGGTGTTGGAGTCGTGCCTGGCCATGCAGTCATGGGTGAACAGGGAGTACAGGAGGGGACTGAGCACGCACCACTGAGGGGCCCCCGTGTTGAGGATCAGCGTGGCAGATGTGTTGTTACCTACCCTTACCACCTGGGGGCGGACCGCCAGGAAGTCCAGGATCCAGTTGCAGAGGGAGGTGTTTAGTCCCAGGGTCCTTAGCTTAGTGATGAGCTCTGAGGGCACTATGGTGTTGAACACTGAGCAGTAGTCAATGAATAGCATTCTCACGTAGGTGTTCCTTTTGTCCAGGTGGGAAAGGGCAGCGTGGAGTGCAATAGAGATTGCATCATCTGTGGATCTGTTGGGGCGGTGTGCAAATTGGAGTGGGTCTAGGGTTTCTGGGATAATGGTGTTAATGTGAGCCATGACCAGCCTTTCAAAGCACTTCGTGGCTACAGACGTGAGTGCTACGGGTCGGTAGTCATTTAGGCAGGTTACCTTAGTGTTCTTGGGCACAGGGACTATGGTGGTCTGCTTGAAACATGTTGTTATTACAGACTCAGTCAGGGACAGGTTGAAAATGTCAGTGAAGACACTTGCCAGTTGGTCAGCGCATGCTTGGAGTACACGTCCTGGTAATCCGTCTGTCTGGCCCTGTGGCCTTGTGAATGTTGACCTGCTTAAAAGTCTTACTCACATCGGCTACAGAGAGCTTGATCACAGTCATCCGGAACAGCTGATGCTCTCATGCATGCTTCAGTGTTGCTTGCCTCGACGCGAGCATAGAAGTGATTTAGCTCGTCTGGTAGGCTTGTGTCACTGGGCAGCTCGCGTCTGTGCTTCCCTTTGTAGTCTGTAATAGTTTTCAAGCCCTGCCACATCCGACGAGCGTCAGAGCCGGTGTACTACGATTCAGTCTTAGTCCTGTATTGACGCTTTGCCTGTTTGGTGGTTCGTCGGAGGGCATAGCGGGATTTCTTATAAGCGTCCGGGTTAGAGTCCCGCTCCTTGAAAGCGGCAGCTCTACCCTTTAGCTCAGTGCGGATGTTGCCTGTAATCCATAGCTTCTGGTTGGGGTTTGTACGTGCGGTCACTGTGGGGACGACGTCATCAATGCACTTATTGATGAAGCCAGTGACTGATGTGGTGTACTCCTCAATGCTATTGGAAGAATCACGGAACATATTCCAGTCTGTGCTAGCAAAACAGTCCTGTAGCTTAGCATCTGTGTCATCTGATCACTTCCTTATTAACCGAGTCACTGGTGCTTCCTGCTTTAGTTTTTGCTTATAAGCAGGAATCAGGAGGATAGAGTTATGGTCAGATTTGCCAAATGGAGGGCGGGGGAGAGCTTTGTACGTGTCTCTGTGTGTGGAGTAAAGGTGGTCTAGAGTTTTTTTCCCCTCTGGTTGCACATTTAACATGCTGGTAGAAATTAGGTAGAACAGATTTAAGTTTCCCTGCATTAAAGTCCCCGGACACTAGGAGCGCTGCCTCTGGCTGAGCTTTTTCCTGTTTACGTATGGCCTTATACAGCTCATTGAGTGCAATCTTAGTGAATGCATAGGTTTGTGGTGGTAAATAGACAGCTCCGAAAAATATAGATGAAAATTCTTGGTAAATAGTGTGGTCTACAGCTTATCATGAGATACTCTACCTCAGGCGAGCAAAACCTTGAGACTTCCTTATTATTAGATTTTATGCACCAGCTGTTGTTTACAAATATACACAGACCGCCACCCCTTATCTTACCGGAGTCAGCCGTTCTATCCTGCCGATGTAGCGTATATTTTAAATGCAGTTTAAATAAAGTTTGATTTTTGAACCCTCAGGCCGCTTCTTGGAGATGCACATGTACATGACCTCTGCCCTCAGCAAGAATGACATGAAGGCCATCGGCCTGCAGATGGCGCTAGACCTTCTGGCCAAGAAGGAAAAGAGGGATTCCATCACTGGTCTTCGCACTCGCACACAGCCAGGGAGGCCAGAGTGGGGGAAGGTATGGATGTCAAACTATATCTCTGTATATATCTGTACCTGTCCATTATAAAGCTCATAGCTCATTTTTCAGCTAATCTTGAAGAGAGATGCACCATTTCTAAAATCGGTATGGGATGTCTCTGCTTTATTTCGTTGTTGGCTATAAGGGCCCTGAGTTTTTCCTGGTCAGGTTATGTGGTCAGGAAAAACCTGCGATTAGTCGTGATTCAGTGACATGCATGTTTGTGGGTCCTGTCCAACCACAGTACATTGAAAATGTCTTCTTCTTTCACACGTATCAACCGCAGGTGTTCCAGAAAGTGGCAGAGGAGAAGAAAGGAAAGGTTCATGTATTCTACTGTGGAGCACCTGCACTGGCTAAACTCATCAAGGCCCAGTGTGAGCACTTTGGATTCAACTTCTACAAGGAGAACTTTTGAGGGCTGTCCAACGTTTTTCCTGACTGACACCAGCACCCTCAACTAAATCCATACACCTATGTGCTGATCTATGTCAACAGTTTCTATACCATACACGCTGGTTGTCCACAAGCACTGTCTCGTGCTGAATCTGCACTATGTCTTTACCCACCAAAGTGTGTGAAACCGACATCAGTGTGCTGCTAACAGCTTCGCTTCCTCCACTGTCCCTGTCCCCTTACTGGGCACGACCAGTGGTCCTCTGATCGCAAACACACCGCCCTCCTTGATAACGTACCAACTAGTTGTGCTATAAAAAAGGATCTGATTCGATAGCACCATTGACGTGCCTGCCCTTAATGCTTGCCTTGGTCAAGAAGTATAATGCGTGCCTTTATACTGTATATTCTATCACATTTAGTATTCAAATGGATCTACCTTGCTTTAAACCAAAACATATTCCAAAGCACAAATAATAAATGCCAGACATTGTGACAGAGATTGAAATTAGGTTTACGTCATAGACTTACATAATTAATGGTTTATGTACCCCGTAACTATGTGTTGTTGCCAATGGATCCGATGTATTTGAAGTTTCTGCTCAAATCTTCATGGAAGGTTATTATGATAAATAATACAGCACCTTGGTGGAAGTGTTATATGGGTAATAAAGGGTTATATGGATAATGAAGGGTTATATGGGTAACCCTAAGTAATGTAGTGATTGTTCTGCATCCTGGGTAAGACCAGAAGGTGACCATTATTATAGGAAATATAGAACATATCAACCTTCAGTTACAATTTTATAAAACGTATAACCATTCATTAATAAATAAATTGGTCATTTAGCAGACGCTCTTATCCAGAGCGACTTACAGGAGCAATTTGCCTTGCTCAAGGGCACATCGACAGATTTTTCACCTAGTCGGCTCGGGGATTAGAACCAGCGACCTTTCGGTTACTGGCACAACATTCTTACCCACTAACCTACCTGCCGCCCTCATTGTAATGTAACTACAGAAAGTATTCACACCTCTTGACTTTTTCCACGTTTTCTTGTGTTACAGCCTGAATTTAAAATAGATTAAATTGAGATTTTCTTGTCACTGGCCTACACACAATACCCCTTAAGGTTTTTTGACATTTTTTAAAATGTATTAAAAATGAAAAGCTGAAATGTCTTGAGTCAATAAGTATTCAACCCCTTTGTTTTGGCAAGCCTAAATAAGTTCAGGTGTAAAACTGAGCTTAACAAGTCACATAATAAGTTGAATGGACTCACTCTGTGTGAAATAATAGTATTGAACATGATTTTTGAATAATTAACTCATCTCTGTACCCCACACATACAATTATCTGTAAGGTCCCTCAGTTGAGCAGTGAATTTCAAACACAGATTCAACCACAAAGACCAGGGAGGTTTTCCAATGCCTCGCAAAGAAGGGCACCCATTGGTAGATGGGTAAAAATATAAAAAGCAGACATTGAATATCCCTTTGCGCATGGTGAAGTTATTAATTTCACTTTGGATGGTGTATCAATACACCCAGTCACTACAAAGATACAGGTGTCCTTCCTAACTCAGGGATTTCACCATGAGGCTAATGGTGACTTTAATACAGTTACAGAGTTTAATGGCTGTGATAGGACAAAACTGAGGAGGATGGATCAACAACATTGTGGTTACTCCACAATACTAACCTAATTGACAGAGTGAAAAGAAGGAAGCCTGTACAGAATACAAATATTACAAAACATGCATCCTGTTTGCAATTAGGCACTAAAGTAATACTGCAAACAATGTGGCAAAGTAATTAACTTTTTGTCCTGAATACAAAGTCATGTTTGGTGCAAATACAACACAACACATTACTGAGTACCACTCTACATATTTTCAAGCATAATGGTGGCTGCATCATGTTATGGGTATGCTTGCAATCATTAAGGACTGGGGGATAAAAAAGAAACAGAATGGAGCTAAGCACAGGCAAAATCTTAGAGGAAAGCCTGGTTCAGTCTGCTTTCCAACAGACACTGGGAGACAAATTCACCTTTCGGCAGGACAATAACCTAAAACACAAAGTCAAATATACACTGGAGTTGCTTACCATGACAACATTGAATGTGCCTGACCGGCCTAGTTACAGTTTTGACTTAAATTGTCTTGAAAATCTAGGGCAAGACTTGAAAATGGCTGTCTAGCAATGATCAACAACCAACTTGACAGAGCTTGAATAGTTTAAAAAAAATAATAATGTGCAAATATTGTACAATCCAGGTGTGCAAAGCTCTTAGAGGCTTACCCAGAAAGACTCACAGCTGTAATCTCTGCCAAAGGTGTTTCTAACATGTATTGAGTCAGGGGGTTGAAACTTATCTAGTAAAAATATATTAACGATTTTTTTTCATGATTTTTCTTTACAAATGTTAGTATTTTTCTTCCACTTTGACATTGGAGTTTTTTGAGTAGATTGTTGACCAAAAATGACAATTAAATCCATTTTAATCACACTTTGTAACACAACACAATGTGGACGTAAAGGAGTGTGAATACTTTCTGAAGGCACTGTAGGTGATTTACATAATGTAAATCATGTAGATTTACATTTCTCTTCTATAGTGTATTATTGATAGCTAAATTATAAATATTTATTTTAGATTTACATTTCTGTTATATTATTGGTAGTTACAATGTATTTGTTTTTATTTAGGTTACACTGCAATTCAGCTTTTAGCTGCCAATGTTGTACAACATGAATAAACTAAACTATGATTATTATAAATGCATAGCATAGCAGTTTATATGATATTGTGAACAGAGTGACTAAATGTTCGAGAAACATTTATAGTTTGTAAATATGGATCTATATAAGAACATTGTTTTTTGTAAGTGGTAATGTTTTATTTGTTGTAACCAGCAGTCTATAAAACTATCCAGAATGCCAATCCAAAACAAGTCTGTCTGTATAGACCTGTCTAAAGCATAGTTTAGTGAACAATGTGATTTCCCCTATTGCCTTGAAATTCTAAAGTTATTTCCTGCGCAATGAATGGTGTACAGGGTGTCTAGGGGAACTAACTGCAATTATGAAATGCAGGGCAGAAAATGAATTGTCTTTCAGCCATTGTGTCTATATATTAGTTATTTGAGCAGTCTTTTACCTTGCCTCTATATCCTTTGATAAATAAAAATGGCTTGTGTGCCTATACAGAACTTTTGCCTCTGGGGGGGTTCTTGAGCCAAAGGAGGTTCATATAGGCTGCGTTTACACAGGCAGCCCAATTCAGATCTTTTTTCCACTAATTGGTCTTTTTCACAACAGATCTTTTTCAGATCTGATTAGTCAAAATACCAATTAGTGACAAAAATATCAGAATTGGGCTTCCTGTCTAAACGCAGCCAATGGGTGTTCGAGCAGTAAGCCTTACGAAGATGACTGTAAAACAAAAGTCATGAGTGAAGTCGGGGAAGGTGCATCTGCGGCAGCCGAAAGTCAGACACCGTATTGGTTTTCCAACATCATGGCAAGGCTCATGCTGGCTTGACATGCTCATGGGAAACTGGGAAACTGGGAAGTGGGAAGTCGTAAATCCAACATGATTGGGCTAGTTTGTGTGGTAAGGACTGAAGTAACCGACATAGACGAAGGTCGAGTAGTGAAGTCGGGGGAGGTGCATCTGCGACAGCCAAAAGTTGAACACTAATGTGGTTTTCCAACAGCAAGACTCATAACAAGGCAGTGTTGTCATTGTTTGTATAAAACAAAATAAATATGCCTCATTTTACATTTAAGTCATTTAGCAGATGCTCTTATCCAGAGCGACTTACAGTTAGTGAGTGCATACATTTTCATACTGGCCCCCCTGGCCCCCCGTGGGAATCGAACCCACAACCCTGGCATTGCAAACGCCATGCTCTACCAACTGAGCTACACAGGGCCTCCAACCCCCATATCACACACTCACAAACTGAAATCAAATGTGTGTATGTTGAATAATCAATTGGTGAGAGTCTGAAATATCACATTCATTTGTATATACAACTCACTGGCCAGTTTATTAGGTACACCACCCAGTTCACGAAAATGGATTGCTCCTGCAGACAGTGAGTCACATGGCCATGGCATGCTATATAAAGCAGGCAGACAGGCATCGAGGCATTCAGTTACTGTTGAATAGAACGTTAGAGTGGGCAAAACAAGTGACCTAAGGGACATTGAGCGTGGTATGATCGTCGGTGCCAGGCGCCGGATCCAGTATCTCAGAAACAGCCCCCCTCCTTGGCTTTTCACGCACATCAGTGTCTAGGGTTTACTGAGAATGGTGCGGGGAAAAAAACAAAAAACATCCAGTCAGCGGCAGTCCTGTGGGCGGAAACAGCTCGTTGATGAGAGTTGTCGAGGGGGAGAATGGCAAGAATCGTGTAAGCTAACAGGCGGACCACAAACAGGCAAATAACGGCACAGTACAACAGTGGTGTGCAGAACGGCATCTCAGAATGCACAACTCGTCGGTCCTTGTCATGGATGGGCTATTGCAGCAAATGACCACACCGGGTTCCACTGCTATCAGCTAAAAACAAGTGGGCAAGTGATCACCAATACTGGAGTGGAAAAATATTGCCTGGTCCGACGAATCCCAGTTCCTGTTGTGGCATGCTGATAGCAGAGTCAGGATTTTGCGTAAGCATCATGAATCCATGGACCCATCCTGCCTGGTGGCGGTGGTGTACCGTCGTCCAATCTGCAGCAACTGTGTGATGCCATCGCGTCAGCATGGACCAACATCCCAGTGGAACGTTTCCGACTTGTAGAATCCATTAGATTAGGGCTTATTTGAAACATGTTCATAGTTTTGATAGCTTCTTACGCGGGATGGTTAATTTGTGTGTACCCCTTTAAGAGTGTCCCAGAATCTGAAAATAAGAAAATGTAAATTGAACAAAAATATAAACACAACATGTAAAGTGTTGGTCCCATGTTTCATAAGCTGAAAGAGATATCCCCAAAATGTTCCATATG